CTCCAATTTCTTGAGCTGGTCCACATTAATTGTCTCATTGCTGAGTACAGAATCAACCTCTGCCTGTGCTTTTCTCATCTTGGAGGGATTCTGCACCATATTAGAATATGATTGGTACATACATACAGTGATACCCAACCCAACTAGTAAACCATAACTAGTGAACTATGCATGGTACAAAAAGGACTTATATACCTGGGCTAGTAGAAAAACAGACCATGTCAAAACAGCAGCAGTTGTTTCATGCCCAGCAATAAGCATTGTCATAAGGTCATCTCGAAGCTAGCACAAAACATGTATTGTTGTCAACTTATTTGCCACGTGTGGGAAGAAATAGGCGTCATAGTATACCAAGTTCACAACAATATTGATGACTACCTGGCGATCGTCAACATCAGCTCCCCGCATATCAACAAGGAACCTCAGCAAGCTGGCATCCTACAAGCATGATGGAAAACGAACCTATTGGTCATAAGTCATAACAACGAAATGTGGTGCTCGCCAATGAACAAACACAGTAAGGTATCACCACAGCCAACCTTCAATGATGAGTAATCTCTTTGCTGGAGCTTTTCGACATCAGCTTCCTACATTTCATGTTTGTGAAACATCAAAACCAGTACTAGATCTAAAACATGCACTATGTATGAATAGAACAGCAGTTCAAACAAACCTGTCTTGTCTCTTTTGCATTTTTTATGAGACTATCAAGGCAATCATTAATAACCTTGAGGTCACTGTGGAACTTGCGTTGCCTTGGAACTATCCATCTAGTTAAAGGAAGATTCCAATAGGGAATGTAAAAAGTGGATCTGTGCTCAGCTTCAAAAAGAGTTCCGTATACTGCCTGCAGGAAAAAGAAATTAAAATCCCATAAATAAGGGAAGAGAAAATAGCAGAAAGGCATGCCATGTGATCATGTATTCATGTCTACTAACAATAGACGTCCGACATAAACATTGCTCCATAACATACTCAAATGTTCCAGACTATTACCACGCATGCAATTCTTGTGAAGAAATAACCATCATATATTAGAGGTTTAGAACTATAGGTATTATATGATGCTCACCTTGATCACAGGAGATTCTTTGGTAACCGAATCAAAATCAAAATTGAACACGCCCAAGCCAATTATGTCGAGAGCCAAATTAGAAAACTCAGCTTCAAGGTCCACTATGGTATACTTTTCCCCATGTTCGCCCCTTTCAATAAGCTCTTCAAGCTTAAATATTGTTCTCTCTGAACACTTAGTAAATACTCCCACCATAGCATCTATGAATAAGGCATGGAACCCGGGGGTTATAACTGCACAACAAAGAAATTGGAAAAGGTGCACCATGAGCATGCCATTGAGTGAAATACAAACATAAAGTCCGCAATAGGCTATGAAACAGTTTGGTTCATAAAAAGGCAGGAAATAGTTTAATTATATCAGTCAATTGTCTGATAAATAGGCCCATTACTATTGGCAACTGCAATTTTTATACCTTTAAAAAGTCAAACAGTATGGCCTTAGATGAGCACACAGAAACATGCAACATTTCACTCAGAACAAACCCAAAAGTGCACAAACTAAGATTCAATATCCAACCTTTCTAACCTTTTCTCCTTTGCTTCCAGGTATCAAGGTCAGCAGGTATAAGACCCTTCCCCATTATTGGTTTTAAAATTTCAGCAAGAACTCCCTGATTTCAAGTACATAAATATGTAAGAAAGAAACCTAACAAACTAAACAGTAGTCTAGTAGCAACATTAGTTATCCATGATATATATTAATACAGGTAAAATTCAGTTGCTACAACAGAGCACATGCTATAAATCAGCTGACACCTGACAGCCATCATGGTAAAAAAAAAATTATGATCCAATACCACCTACAGTTGAGCCAACAAAGGATATTCATAAAATGTGCATTAGAAGAATACCTTATCATAACAGAAAGCATTTTCTCGCAGGATATGTCTAGCAACAATTGGATCGGAGACAACAACAAATGCCTTGGGTCCAAAAGCGAGTTTGTACACAGAGCCATGCTGCAAACAAATCATGATAGGTTAGCATTGTTGCAGGGGCGAAGCTACAGCCATTCATAGCGGTCAGTTGACCCCGACGACGTTTTGCAAACCTCTCAAACCCTCTTTATTTTACCATCTATGACCCCAGCGAAGAGAAAAACTAGACCCCAGTGATATTGCTGATTGTTCCGTCAAAACCAAACTAGTGACTAGGAACGATACTAACAAACAACAAATAGAAAATTAGCTAGCACTTATGATTTATACGTCAGCCCAATATACATATACGATTGTGATTTGGGTCCAAAAATAACTCCACAAATACTCTTGTTGCGTCATCGTATTCCTTCGAGCACTTTGTCCCGCACCGGCGTTGCACATCTTGACATCTTATATCATCTTATTTCTAGCAGAACGGAAGGCAATAAATTAGTGGTTTTGATAATCTTTGGTGCATTTGGTGTGTTTTACAAATTAATAATGTATAGTTTTTAACAAATTTGTAGACATTTCATTTTATCATATTGTCATTAATTTTGTCTTGTATTATGTATAGTCTTAGATCATTAATTACAAACTAGATGACATTTCCGATTTAATGTTGGATTACAATGTAGCGATATGACATTTTTCACCAAATTTTAATAAGTTTTGATATAGTTTTGCCGTGAATTCTCCAAAAACATTCAAAATTTCACTCAGAATATACTTTTCGTCCCACGTCGAAACATCAAAATTACATGATTTTTGGTCGGTTTTGGTCGAAAGCATAAACCCTGGTTAACACTGACCCCGGTGACCATTTATCCTGGCTTTGCCCCTGCATTGTTGCACAACTTGTCCACATATCTACTTGATTATGAACCTAATGGTAAATTGGTAATGTAAGTCACTAATGAGAATCAAAAGAAATAATGCATAAACCTGAACAGCAGGGACGCAAGCCAACTATTGGCATATATCTTCACTGTTTTTATGAATGGTGAAATGTACATTTAGCAATGCATTTATGAAGTTGCAAACAAAAAAAAAAACTTGAAGGCGTGCTAATTAAAAAAAAAGGGTGTGAAGTTTGTGATGTGGAGTTAAAAAAATCGCTAGAATTGCAAAACAACTTTAAGGCAATAAGGCATGCTAACTAAACAAACAGTCAAGTTTGAACATGGAGTTCAAAAATGGCGTTGAACCATAAAATTCAGACAGTCAATAATAAAATGTACATAGCATTAAAATTTGTGTAATCATGTAACGTAGTTTGGAGATGAAATAGTGGACAAACATGCTTTTGATCATAAGAGAACGAAACGTATGTGTGATTGCAGTAAGTGGAAAAAAAAATTAGCAAGTGCAACGAAGTAGCGCAGTAGCGATGAAATGTGCGTGGGATATTGCAAATACTAATGCAAGAGCCACAGATTGATTGGGGTGATCACCTCGAGGAACCAGTCGTAGAGCGAGAAGAAGAGTGGCCGGCCGAAGAGGTCGGTGACGGCGCCCTCGGCGACGGGCATCGCGCCGAGGCTCCCGCCGCTGAGCAGGTTGGTGAGCAGGTTGCTGGCGTTGTCGAGCAGGCCCCGCTTGGACTTGGGCTTGTCGTCGACGCTGGACGACTGGCACCTTCAACAACAACAACAACCACCATAACATCACCCCCCCCCCCCCACCCCAAACACCACAGCTCAGCCACCCGCGCACAGAGAGGCAATCGGTCGAGCACCTGGCGTGCGCGCGCGCGCGCCCCCCAAGGCCGCAGAAGGCAACGTAATACGTACCTGACGACGGGGAGGCGCCTCCTCCCGCGGAGAGCGGGGCACGCGGCGTGGCGACGCGGCGAGGCGTCGGCCTGCCACGGGTGGGGCGTGGCGGCGGCGGCGGCGGTGGCCGCGGTGATCGCCATGGAAGCGAAGCCGAAGTGAAGCGAAGTGAAGCGCGGGGTGGTCACTGGCCAGAGATGGATAAGGCCGGCTCGGTGCGCGCCTGGGCGTGATATTGTGGTGCGGTCGCGCTCGGTCGGAAAGCGCGGCAGCCACCGACACCGACCGCACAACGTGTCCCGGTCGGCGCGGCATGTGAGTCACGGCACGATGAAATCGGTGGGCGATGCACCAGACCAGCCCACTGCATTAGGTAATTTATTATTTTATTTCGTTATTAGGTAGGGGCAAAGGTTGGTTGGTTAGGTAGGAGTATAGTATTATTGTTTTATTTTAGGACTTGTTCAGATTATAGCCAAAATAAATCTTACTAAATTTTGATAATGTTAAAATTGTAGCAACAAACTAAACGTAGATATTTTTTTTGACAACTTTATAAAAAAAAATGGTATGATTGAAGATGACATCAAAGTGATCCGGCTCTTAAAGTTGGATCTAACGAGGTATTATGATAATTTTTAAGTTTAATTTAATATTTATGTTAATTATATATAGCTAATTATGATAATAGAGTTATAATAATATAGTATAAAAAAGATTTGTCAAGAGAAAACCACTCACTAGTGCTAATTGTTTTATTTAACATTGATTTTGAAGATACCTGAAACAAATGCATTTAGATCATTTTTATTTTTGAATTCAAATAAAATCTAGTTTGCAAGTCCTAATGTCCGCATTTACGGCTAATTATTTTTTCAGTGATACACGACGTATTCGTCGACAGCGAGATGCTTATAGTGACTTATTAATCTCGAAGATATACCGATACAATCTTGTAGAGTTGCTCCGCGCATATGAAGTCCAAAAATTTGTACTACGTTTCTTAAAATAAAATGCAATGTAGAGTATCAAGATACCACCAAAAACGATTTTAGAACCGATGCATATCATTTCACTCTTGGGTAGGACCAGTCGATCTCGCCTTGGGTCCAGTAGAATAATGGCCCAATATTGAATTACACAGGTGCACTTGCCCCATCCCAGCCCAAGCCCACACGTGACGTAGTGGGCCGTGCTATTATCTTATATCGGAAAAAAAAGAGAGGAAGAAAGCGTGATTGACCTCTCGTTATCGTGGACTTCATTCTAAAAAAAAAAGAAAAAAGAAAGAAAAAAGAAAGAAAGAAAGAGCATGGAGGCGGAGGCGGCAATGGCGCCGGCGGCGGCGCCAGCGGCGGCGACAGGGGCGGTGCGGGTGGAGAAGGTGAGGGGGAGGTCAGCGGTGACCAGGTGCTTCGCCAAGTACCCGCTCAAGCTCATCGCCCCCTCCAAGGTTCCACCACCTCCTCCATCCATTATATAGATTGCCTTCGCTTGTTTGCTGCGATGAGCCACTGACCTCACCTCGTCGGCGATCCTCTGGCAGGCCGGGCGCGCGTCCTCCGGCGCCGCGTGGCTCTACGCCATCACCTACGGCGGCGGCATCGTCTCCGTGAGCCGCCGCATCGCCTCCTCTTCCTCCCCCGGATTGCAATCAACCAACCAACCAACAGTTTGCCTCCTTTCTCGAGAGAGAGGCAATCGTGAGTGCGAGTGTCTGATGCGTTTTTGTTCTTCTTTTTTGGGGGCTGTGCTTGTAGGGGGACATCATCTCCTGCACGGTGGCCGTCGGCGACGGGTGCGCGGCGGCGATGACCACGCAGGCCTCCACTAAGGTCCTTTTTTCTTTCAATTGTTCTCATGCGATTGGCCGAGTAAATACTGTTTACATTTCCTTAGTTGGAGAAAATGACATAGGTTAGTGAACGAATGTTTCTCATAAATGCTTACAGCTAGAACACTTTTAGGGCCCCCCCCCCCCCCGTATTTTTTTTTCCTTTTTGAAAGAAGGGCAAAATCTTTGCCAACTTTAGGGTCCCTTTTGAAATGATGGATTGTCATAAGAATTTTGAAGGATTTAATCTTCTAAATGATTTTTTATTTCTATCGAGCCAAGGATAGAGAATATTCCATATGAAGTAAGCAAGAGGCCCAACCTCTTGGAAACTTTCCTTTGCTTTGTTAGTTTCCTATGATGCTATCAAAGGGCTCCTCTTCATCTTTCCTGTGTTTTTCATTCCTGTAGGATTAGAGAAACATGCAACTTCAATTCCTGCGTTTTTCCTATCCCGCGTTTCAAAGGGACCCTTAGATAATGTTACAGCTAGAGCTAGAGGGGTCTTGATGTCAATTCCATATAAGTGTAGGGTATGCTATTAGAATTACCAAATGCAACCTAGGACTTAAACTAGTCTATTGTAATAACATGATATTGGGCTTTGTGCGTCTTTGACACAGCAGCTGGGTTATAGCAATGCACCCGTAGTCAAGTGTAATAACATACTTCATTATCGAAATTTTAACTGAAAAAAGTTAGTTCTTGAGGAATATATTGATTTTTTTTAACGAACCATATATATTGATTGTTTTATGTTTGTCAATGGCCAAGTGCTTGTTTAGGTGTACAAGGCCGTGGATTCAAAATGTTCTGAGCAGGTGCTAGAGGTAATGCTCCTTCGAAATTTCGATACTCCTCAGAATTTCTTACTAGGGAACTTCAACTTTTTTTTTAAGAAAATAGCAATTATAATGATTCTTCATTATATGCAGTAGGCAAGAGTTGGAGAAGATGCACTCTTTGCACTTATTCCAGATCCTGTAACCTGCTTCTCAATGGCTCGATACCACCAGAAGCAAGTGTTTCATGTCTTTCCCAATTCAAACTTAGTCGTTGTAGACTGGTTTACAAGTGGTCGTTACGAGAGTGGAGAAAAATGGAATTTCAGCTTCTACAAGAGCATCAACCATATTCTTTTGGAAGATCAGCCTCTATTTATTGACTCGGTAAGAGCTCACCTTTCAGCTTCTCCTAACATTTGCCTGATTAATCTTGTTCATCCCCACTCTAATCATCGGTTGTGCTTAATGCCATGCCACATAACCTCTTCTAATGTCTGAGCAGGTTTTATTGGAACAGAGCTCAAATTTTAGTATTGCTGACCGAATGCAGGAATACAATGTGGTTGCAATGGTTATTTTGCTGGGGTAAGGCCATCAAACACTGAAATTTGCCTTCTGCACAGGTCTTCTCGACCTTTGCAGATATGACTTTGGCTACTGCCTATGTGCTGCTTCGGTTTTCACATAATCAACCGTGTTCTTTTGTCTTTGGTAGTTACTACAATTATGCTAGTTGAGGATCTTTCAGAATTTCTAGAAAATTGTAGGGAATCAGAGGAATCCATGGACCATAGTTTACTTCAGATTTCGAAGAAAATTGTTGGGAATCAGGAACTATGGACTATGGTTCACTCAGTCTAACAAGTTACTAGTGGAATCCCAGATGGCTAGATCTGGATTACTTACAGACAATGGTTCAGTGAATCAGTGGCATACTTTCCCTTGCAGACCAAAGTTAAAGCACATACAAGATCAGATGCAAGATGAGGTAAAAAAGATGATGTCTGTACAACTGCGCCCTCCCACTTCTGCCGGAGGTCGCTACTCGACAAGATCACAACCCCTACATCCCCAGAGGCCTCCAATCATCGCCTCCTGTAGTCCATTCGGTCGCATGGTTTGTTACTTCCCCAGCTTTCCTGACACTACCACGACAATTTTCTAGAAACATGTGATAACATCTTTTTTTCTTCCTCTTGCTGAAGGGCACTGGGATGGTTGCTCGGATAACCGCAGTGAGCACAGAATCTGTGTACAGCTTCCTGAGACATCATCTGGCAGCACTGGAACCATTCCTTGGCGCTTGCCCATATCCTGCATCATGAAGCTAGCGGCCATCTGACTGTTGATGGATCATCATGAAATCTTCACTTCCGACGAAGAATGAAGATGTAAAAATTGTCTTCGCATACGCCTGCTCCCCGTAGTTGATTGAGCATGCTTTGATTTTGGTTGTACATGTTATAGTTCTTTGTGAATTTCTGAGTAAAAGAAGATACTCTGGGAATTGGGCAGCTGATGATCATGACCCTCTTTCTGTACTTTACAATAAATCCTCCTTCCTAGTCTTGGTGGGCCAGGCTGAAATGTTGGATTCGTTGGGCTGGACCCAACTTATGTTAGTTGGACCAGATAATTAATTCATCAGCAATGCAAAGATTGTTGTACACTGCTGCAGAGATTCCACAGGCCCACACGCTGACAAATTGCAATGCACTGGAGGCACTTGAAACCACATAATCCTCTGCTGCTTGCACGTGCCAAGAAGCACGCATGTGAGCTTTTTATGGTGGTACAGCACGTCACTAACCACGTTTTCTGTATATGGATTTCGAACTACCGTTGGATCGAAAAATAGATGTTTGAGATTTGTTCACATCATCATGAGTAAAAATTTTACTCGCAGATTTACTCATAAGTAAAAATTTTACTGGGTGGACGAATCTGGAATGTCCATTTTTTGATTTAACGGTAGTTTCTAGTTTTCCATTATATATGGTTTACACTACATATTTCCTCCAGAAAGACAATGGTGAACGCATGACTAAAATTTAGATATTATAGCCGGTGTTAGAACAATAATTGTCAGGGGTCCAATTGTCATAGATAGTTAATTAGCAGATGTGTACGTAGAGCGATAGTAGTATCACACGTAGACACTCCATGATTGCGGAGAGAGGATGAGGAAGAGGAAGAGGACGAGGAAGGAGACCAATGGTCAAAGTGATTGTACAATAATGGTGGGAGTGGTGGGGTTTCTGAAATCTGAATTTTTGAAGGGGGCTCTGAGAGAAGGTACAGATGGGGAAATGGGGGCTGCCTCCCTTTCTCCTGCAGCCTCAAGGATGGGGGCCCATCTCAAAGCCCACTGCCATTTAGAACCCCACCCCTTTTGTTCCCCAGCTTTCTTCCCTCCATCATTGGGCCTTTTACTGCACCATCACTAACAACATGACACAAAACACATCACTTCATATCTACTATCTTTTTTTCTGTCCCCTCCCCTATGTCTATCTCCTACAAAATTTCAAACCCTAGGCTATGTGAGACTCCAAGATTCTACGCGTACATCTTGCGGCAATCCAACCCTTTCCTACGACACTATTCCAAGAGCCGTGAACCAAGAATTTTGTTGAAAATAGTATAGTTACAAAAATAGTACAGTTAAGAAATTAACCTCATGTAAAATTTCTCGCATTCAAAACAAGGACTTCCAATTTGCGTAGTGGATATTTTTGCTGGATGAAAAGCAATCAATATATGGGCAGGCATTGTTGGTGGTGACCAATTAACTCCAAGTGCATGGGACATGGGAGACATGGTTGTGCACTGCTCCAAAAACCACCACCAGTTTGGGATGGTCCATGCTTCCAGGGCCAATTATTTCTATCATCTTATCTATCAAGCATTCTAGCTAGCTATCTATCTAGATCTTCTTCCATTGATCTCTTCTCATCCAGTCATCCTCCTCTTAAACCTAGTCTTCCTCACTTGTGGATTGTGGTGGTCCTCTCCTCTCCTCACTTGGCAATGCATGCCATGGAAAAAGCCTGCTTACAAAGACCTGCTTCTTTGGACTGGTCCCACTTCTGCAATTATAGGGGGGCATCAGATCACTGTGAGAAAATTGAACCCCCAACCAGCTCTTGAAGTTGTAGAGGTTTCTTGATTCTCTTTTTCTATTTTAATCGCTTTATACAGTGACATATTTTTAGGCATTTAGTGTTAATGAAATATCCAACTCTTCGAAAACCTCCCCTACGATATGCTACCATTATGCTTTCTCATGTTAAAGTTTTTGAAATTTCCTACATGAATTAGATATATGGTAATTCATAAAAATTGATAAATTACATTGCTGCGTGATTGTTATTCGGGGCATCGGGCTTAGGCCCTACATGTCATCCACACATTTAATACTCCTCCGTCCCACAAAGACTTCATTTTTGGGTTTCTGCGTCCAACATTCGACCGTCCATTTTATTTGAAAGATTTACGAGAAAAAAATAGTCACGCATAAAGTACTATTCATGTTTTTATCATCTAACCAAAAAAAATACTAATTATAAATTTTTTTAAATAAGACAAAGCGTTAAACGTTGTATCCAAAAACTGAAAAATGGAGTCTTCGTGGGACGGAGGGAATACTATCTTATTACCTCCGTCCTAAAATATAAAGAAGTTTAGCCATATATTTGTCTTGCCAAAATCCGTATTTTAGGACAGGGGTAGCATACTACTACTAACGTACACATAGTTATTGTGTTAACAAATTATCTGCAAAGTACAAAACAAAAATTCGAGGTACATACGTGCAATTTTATAAGATAATGGTATGTGTGCAGTTTAGAAGCAGCGGAAATGTTCAGTAGCCAGCAGCGGTGAAAATCACTGTTTTCTGTCATATGGAAACTGTTTGTGAAAGAGAGAGAGATACTCCATCCGTTCCAAAAAAAAAAAAAAAAGACAATCTTTGGGTTTTGGTGTCCAACGTTTGACCGTCCGTTTTATTTAAAAAAAATATGAAAAAAAATTAAAAAGACAAATCACATATAAAGTATTAATCATGTTTTATCATCTAACGTTGGATACAGACAGTCAAAATACTAATTATAAAAAAATTTCATATAAGACGGATAGTTAAACGTTGGACACGGAAACCCAGAGTTTGTCTTTTTTTTTTAGGACGGAGGGAGTAAGCTGTAAGCCTGTGATTGGTAGGTGTTGCAACAACAACTTGCAAGTGGTAAAGCTGCCATTTATTGAGAGATGAGAGAAAGATCTATTGGAAGAGATGATCAAATAATACTAGCAGACGATGGACAAGACCATGCATCAGATTGGAGACCGATCGACCGACCGACCGGCCCGGATGAATTCATCGTGCCAAACAGGTTAGATTCTGCAGGTTTTTCAGAGAGGCGTTGCACGGCATTACAAACCATGTCAATCATTGGCCCCCCTGGACGGCTAGCTGCAAAATAAATCGGTACTAGCTACTGTACTACCACTTACATATTATTGCTGCCGTTGGTTATTGCTCTAGTTACTGCTGCTTCTCCAAGATTGGCAAAGAACACACTCTCTTTGCATCACCGTAACTACACCTACCCAAATTCCAGACCCAACTTCAGCTTTGTACATCCATTAGGATAATATATAGGTTAGAATGAACTCAGGGGTTGATCCAGAAAATAAATATCGACGGGGTTGCTCTTCAAATATACTGAACTCGGTATCTAATTGTATATGAGTAGTTTTATAGCTCTGAAAAGTAATTTCATCTACGATAAAAAATGTCTTTTTTTTCGTTGTAATACCACCCTATGTAACTAGTCTAAATGTACAAGTATTCTTTATATTAATAAGAAAACATGGCTTCATGTGTATATTCTTAACTCTCCTTTGATCCCTTTTTTTTTGAAAAGTGAACAGTAGAGGAAGCCCCTACGGTATATATTATAAAAGAGATAAGAGTACAAAGTTACAAAGAAATTACAATAGAGACATCCATGATTGAGCAAAAAGAATTTGGTCATCTCTAAGTCTAAGTAAATGTAGACTTAGGTCCTCTTTAAGAGCAGATTTCCAGCTTGAGGTCGAGGGCACGATAGAATTGAAAACCAAATTATTCCTGTGCTTCCAAATATTCCAAGCAGCTAAGAGGAAGATTTCCATGAAACACAGAGTTCCAAAATTAGCTCTTTGGTGAATAATTATATAATGAAAACTGAGATTGAAGTTCTAATGAAAACCAATAGAATTTCAACAGCCCGCGCTAAATTGAAGTTCCTTTGATCCTTTTTATCAATGGGAAGACATGTCGTTGTGTTTATATTCTTAGAAAGGATGTTTGTTTGTTGGTTCGGTCTTGATTCAATCATGTGTTTTGACCATTGCGTTTTATATATAGCTAGTTATTATTAAATATAAATATAGGGACCAAAGTTTTAAATTTTTTATTGCTACCTAGTGTCCTAGACTACGTTGTATATTGAGTTGTCGGAGGTAGTATCATCATGCATGCCTATTCAATATTCATCCAATAAATAAAGTGATGGTGGGTAGAGGCGGGCCCATCATATGTTTTGTCCCTATTTTGCATATCCGACGGTTATCCAACGTCATTGATTCAATACATTATGCCATGTTTCTAGGTACGGTCTTTTTGCAGTAAAGACAATGACGTCTGTAGCACATTCATACATTCTACTTGTCGGCGTGACAATGTCAATGTAGCACCCCCTATAATCTAGCGACCGTGTCCTGACACAGATCTGGATTCCCGCACGTGTGCGTTATGTCAAAGTACAACGGTGGATCTAACGGTTTCCTGAACACAACAGCACTGTTCGACTTGTCCGCACAACACAGTAGCCGGCACGAAAAGGAAACAAAGCCCTAGCTAGGAGGGCCACATGCACTATGTTGAAAGGAAGAAAACATGAGGCCATGTTTGGGCACAGGGGAGGTGTGGGCACCCGTTACATGAATGAATGCATGATTCGACCAATTCATAGATCGGGGATGGGCCACAACGATCTCCATTGTTTGGACTTTGGAGGGGATGGATGGATGGATGGATGCTCATACTATTACTGTGCAGTAGCAGCCAATAGTAGCTAGCCAGGATAGGCACCCTTGATGAGACTCAACATGCATGGAGAAATTGGCTCAGGCTCTCTTTAAATTCGTACAACTGTGTGAAGATCAATACTTTTATGTGTTTCTCTACACAAATGTGCCATGCATGCATCTAGATATGCCTTGCACACAAAAGAAATTAAATTGACCAATTGGTGTTCTTTAGGTCTTGCAGGGTTAGATGTGTGAGAATCATCAAATAAACATCATTAAGAGGACGAAGTCACCACAGGCGCCTCGCTGTCGACGGGTACATTGCCTACCACTGAAAGCACAATGCCGATAAATCTGGGAGCGAACCCAGGACCTCAGGTGCTACTGAGGCTCTTGTAACCACTAGGTTACAGGCCCTTTCTCTATTAGTTGATATTCTCGTTATTGACTTATTATTTATCCTGCATGTACTCCCTCAATTTACAAATAGATTTTATTTGAAGGTATCCTTGATCAAACCTTGAAATCTTAAATGGGTATATACATTTGCATAAGTACTATATTTGACATGTAAAACTGACACCCCACATATATTTGTTTACAA